CTGTACCTCCCGTTCCTTTACGATTTGTCTAAAATGGGCCATAACATTGTCATTGAAATAGTCACCAGCACGGCTTGCAACAGCTGTGTCAGGGTGATTTTCATCCATAAAGGTTTGCAGTTCAACCCAAGGCACAATGGATTCCACAACTGGCATAGGCTTCTCAGGGTTAGCCCCAAACCCTTCAAAATCTTTCTTAATTTCCATACTAATTCTCACCCTTTTTACCACAGGGTTGGCACTAGAAGCTTTCTTGGGGCCCATGGTCACTTATTTTCCAGAAACAGCACCGAAAACACTGTAATAATACGAAATATTCCGAGTGTATGCTTGAATGTTACCGCGGAGGCTGGCTGGTAAACAATGGACGCTTCTCGGACGAAGGTCGCTGAGCGGGTTTTTGTCCACTATGCGGGGCAAAATTTTGGCGAACAAAGCGTTCGCTATGCGGATTGTTCGCTATGCAAGGCGTTCGCTATGCGGGGGTCCACTGTATATATATATATATATATATATATATAATATATAATATATATATATATATATATATATATATATATATATATATATATATATATATATATATATATTTATGGACATTACAGGTATACAGTGGTACCTTGATATTCAAACTTAATTAAGCTGTTCCAGGCGGCTGTTTGAATAGCGAATTGTACGAATATCGAATCAATTTTTCCCATGAGAAACAATGTAAGTTAGAGTAATCTGTTCCAGACCCCAAAAAATTACCAATTATAAAACATTTTAAACGAAAACACTGCTTATTTAAACCTGTATAATAATATCTGCATGCATAAAAATCAAACATGAAAACTATATAAACTAATCTAACTACAGTGAGCCCTCGGTTATCAGCCGTTCCCCTTATTGGCCGGTTTTTTGTTTCCAGTTATCGGCCGTTATTTCGCTCATCGGCCGTATTGGACACAAATCGACCGGCGACACTCGTGCGTTCCTGAGTCAGTGTAGCCATGTCACTGGCCGAGTGAGGAAGCTTCTGCTCATTCATCCAAACATTTCGCTATAAATCAGTGATTTTCTTTGTTATTTATTAAGTGCAACTGCGAAATAAGTAAGCATGGCCCCAAAGAAAGTTCCTATTAAAATTCCTGTGGTAAAGAAAGTGAGAAACACGATGGAATTTAGCCCCTTTACTTTTGCAACCCCCAATCCTGAGGTGTCTCCTGGTGTCACAAAATTTAACCCATAAATGGTCCAAACGTATATATACGTTCACTACCGTACTGCCCCAACTTTTTTGAGAAAAAAAAACATTGTTGTTCTTTAATAGGAAAAAAGAGCATATGGCACCCAAGCATCCCCAATTATTTTAATATGGCGCACAGTGAGTGCTCACACCCATTCTCTCATGTCTAGGCGACTCAGGTTTATCGTGGCAATGTTAAATGTATGACACATAAAATGTATATATACGTTTGGGGCACTAGCGGTAAAAACGTATATACGTTTGGACCGTTTACAGGTTAAAAAAAAAATGACTTTTTCTTGTGAAATGATAAGAGAATCTTTTCCCAATTGTAATGGCACCAAAAGAACGAAATTTGATGGAAAACTTAAGGAATTACACTCTCGCGCTTACGGAATTACTCTCTCGCGAAGTTAGCAACCTCGGAGATATTTGCAAATAGGCGATTTCGCCCACTTTGAGCCCTATTTTCGGCTAATTCCATTGTTCCAGTCGACCAAACTCATAGCTATTTCTCTAAAACTCCATTTTTTCTATCGACTGAGTACAAGAAACTGCCCATTTACCGATTTCAACTACCCAATAACATGGTCAGAAATTTGCAATTTGGCCAATTTCACGAAAATTTAAAAATATGACAATTTCCAAATAAGGCCCAGAGTAATATCAGGCCCCTCTGATATTACTCTTGCTTTCTATTTTGAATTTTTATTCAAACAAAAAATAGAAGATTTACTGTTATGCAGACTATTGCAATACTGTAATAATTGAACAAATAATGTCAACCCATTCATGACTGCATATTAGAATGGCTAGTTGGACATTTATTGGACAATGACATCAATTGTTTACTTTTGAACATCGGCAAAAAATCAAACATTTCCCCTACTTTGAGCTCCAGTTCCAGGTTCTTTTCATAGTAAAACCAATGAAAATCACCTCTATTTCTATAATATGTTTTCCATTCTATCAAATGCGACCAAGAAAACGAGAATACAACCATAAATACTATACGAAAATAGACTACAAAGTCGGCATTTTAATTAAAAAAAACGGTTGGAGTTTTTTTTCTCATTATGCACTGCGTGCTCCAGGATTTTTTTTATATGGTGCACACTGGCCACACAGACCCATTCTCTGACATGTGGGCCTACCAGCTTTCTCCTGCTTGATTTGAAGCTGCTAGAATTTATGAGTATATATATGTCAAACATGGTGGCTCATAAGACGTATACGTATATACTACCGAAACAGTCAAAGAGTTAAGAGCGAAGTGACTGAAAAATTTGAGAGTGATATGCGAGTGTTGGAAGCTGATGTTGCGAAAGGAGTAAATGTGATAACGAAACAAAGGTTACCAATAATGGAAGATATGGAAAAGTTATTATTGCTGTGGATCAGGAAAAACAATTAGCAGGAGATAGTGTTGTGGAGTCGGTGATTTGTGAGAAGGCAAAGCAGTTGTATGCAGATCATGTAAATAAAATGCCTGGAACAAGTGCTGCTGTTAGTGAATTTAGGACCAGCAAAGGCTGGTTTGAGAGATTTAAGAAGCACAGTGGCATACACAGCGTGGTAAGGCATGGAGAGGCTGCAAGTTCTGATAAATGTGCGGCTGAAAAATCTGTGCAAGATTTCAAGGGGTACATAGAGGCTAAAGGATTCCTCCCCCAACAAGTGTTCAATTGTGATGAAACAGGACTGTTTAGGAAGAAAATGCCAAAGAGGACCTACATTATGCAGGAGGAAAAGGCTCTGCCTGGACACAAGCTGATGAAAGACAGGCTTACTCTTTTGTTCTGTGGTAATGCTACTGGGGATTTCAAAGTGAAGCCTTTACTGGTGTATCACTCTGAAAATCCCAGAGTGTTCAAGAAACACAATGTTTTCAAGAGTAAATTGTGTGTGATGTGATGGGCTAACAATAATTCATGGGTCACAAGGCAAATTTTCAAAGAGTGGGTGAAGGATGAGTTTGGCTCGAGTGTGAAAAAATACCTCCAGGAACATTAATTGCTACTCAAGTGCCTCCTGGTACTGGATAATGCTCCTGCTCATCCTCCATACTTAGTTGACCTATTGTCAGTGGAATTCCGTTTCATCACAGTGAAGTTCTTGCCTCCTAACACCACTCCTCTCATCTAGCCCATGGACCAGCAGGTCATTTCTAACTTCAAAAAACTGTGCACCAGTGTTTCAAAGGTGCTTTGAAGTGACCTCAGACACAGATTTGATCCTAAGAGAGTTCTGGAGGAATCACTTCAATATCTTCCATGGCATAGGCCTTATAGGTAAAGCTTGGGAGGGAGTGACTTCCAGGACTTTGAACTCTGCCTGTAGAAAATTGTGGCCAAAATGTGTCCAAGTGAGGGATTCTGAAGGGTTTGGGGCTGACCCTGAGGACCCTATGCCTGTTGTGGAATCCAGTGTATCTCTGGACAAGTCCATGGGGTTGGAGGTTAATGGTGAGGATGTGGAATAGTTGGTGGAGGACCACAAGGAAGAGCTAACCATTGAAGAGCTGCAAGAGATTCATCTGAAGCAGCAACAGATCACAGCTCAGGAACTTGCTTCAGAGAAGGAGGAAGAGGGAGTGAAGGAGGTGCCTTCTTCAGAGATTAAGGAGATTTGTGCAATGTAGACTAGGGTGCAAGCTTTTGCTGAGAAATATCACCCTGAACAAGCTGAAACAAGCTACATCTACAACAGGTTCAGTTACAGAACCTTGTCTCACTTCAGGGAAATCTTAGAGATGCCAGAAACAGAGGTCTCTGGACAGATATTTTGTGCAACAGGGGTCCAGTGACTCTCAAGCTGGTCTTAGTGGCATTAAAAGACAAAGAAGGGAAGTAACCCCAGATAGGGCTTTGATACCTGAAGTCCTCATGGAGGGGGATTCCCCTTCAAAACAATAAACTTTACTACCTCTCTCCTCCTCCCTATTTTCCATAAGCCAACAACAGTCTTCAATAAAGGTATGTAATACTGATTTAATTGTTCATGTATTTATTGTATTTAGTCCTCATTGTTTTGTGTATGTAAAATTATAATTAATCTCTAAAAAATGTATTTTTGTGAATATTTATGGGTGTCTGAAACAGATTAATTGTATTTACATTAATTCTTCTGGGAATAATTATTTTGGTTATCAGCCATTTCAGTTTTAGGCCGGCCTTCTGGAACGGGATTACGGCCGATAACCAAGGGCCCACTGTACTTCCTGAAATCACAGAGCCTGTTACAAACTACTTGATCAGTTTAAATATTATTACATACTGTACTTAAATTTGTACTATTTTGGCTACCTTAAAATTGTACCACTCAATACTTAAGTATGTATAGTCTTAAGTAGTCTGTAAGCATTAGGATTAGTCTGAAATGCACAGCATACTTTGGTTTTCTTTTGTGCTTAACAATATTTAATTACATGTAAACTATATTTGTATCCTGCACAAGGAAATAAAATGTTTTTCTTTGTTCTGTAGGATTACTCAAATCAGGAACATGTTTGTACAACAATATGACATGGATGACAAAGTCAGTTGACCAAATGAAATTGCTGGTTCACAGATGACTCCAACTTCATCCTATTCATTATTTGTATGACTCATAACAATAAAAAAGGCTTTCACATGAGCCGATATAAGTAACATCCCTTAGCTTGTAAAGGTAGGAACCCTTAACCTAACCTGTAAAAACCTTGTTAAAAAGAGAGAGAGAGAGAGAGAGAGAGAGAGAGAGAGAAAATAGAGATGTGAAGTAGCATATTTACCTGGAACTCTTCTATAGCCTTCAGAGGATCAGTACAGTGCGTGAGTGATTCCTTAAGGTACACTCCTCCTGGGATGCCAATTTCTTCTAAGCCAAATCCTGCCATGGCTCATTAGGCAAAACTGTTAAGTAAAATATGCAAAACTGTCATTACAAACTGTGAAATCAAAATTCCAAAAACTTTGTGTCAAATGCTTATACATGAATTGGACATCTTAGTATTTTCCAAACAATCTTTTCTCTTATTCCTCAATGTTATAAAAATTTTCTCTCCAAGAGTAGTGCTAAAATTAATAGGGAGAATATGACAGTTAGTGGCCAACATTTGCTTTTGTTCATTTATACAATTAGCTTAGCTCAAAAAACTCATGAATGAGTCATAGTTAGCAGCCACCATTAATGACTGTTACACAGCAGGTATTGGGATGGGTTAATATTCCCAGACTGCAGGTGTGAGTCATAATCACTTCCTGAATTGTTGCATTACACATTTTCAGCAATTTACAGCATGAAGATTTGGAAGCCACATGAATGGATCATACAATTTCCTTCACCCTCTATAAGTGAAAATGTAAGTGGAAAAAGCAGGCTAATGAATGCCTACTTTTCTTAACCCTTTCAGGGTTTCCAACGTACTAGTACAGCTTACGCACCAGGGCTATTGACGTACTAGAACGCCTAAATTCTAGTGCCTTCAAATTTAGCGAGAGAAAGCTGGTAGGCCTACATATGAAAGAATGGGTCTATGTGGTCAGTGTGCACAGTATAAAAAAAATCCTGCAGTACACAGTGCGTAATGAGAAAAAAAAAACTGACCGTGTTTTTGGATTAAAACAGCGACTTTGCACTGTATGTTTGTATGGTATTTATGGTTGTATTCTAGTTTTCCTGGTCTCATTTTATAGAATGGAAGACATATTACAGAAATTGAGATGATTTTGATTGGTTTCACAATGAAAAGTACCTTGAAATTGAGCTCAAAGTAGCAGAAATGTTCGATTTTTACCAAAGTTCAAAAGTAAACAAATCATGCCATTCGTCCAATACACGTCAACTGGTAAGTCTAATATTCTTTCACAAGTGCGCTGATATTATTTGGTTTAGAAAGACACGTAAGCAAACACTATAACACATTTATTAGAAAATGTTTCGGTCCTGGGACCTTGATCACTTCTAACATACAGAGGTAGAAAGACATTATATATAGGCGGAGAGTGAGGTGTGACGCACGTGACCTGAGGAATGTCATAAGAACATAAGAATGGAGGAACACTGTAGAAGGCCTACTGGCCCATGCGAGGCAGGTCCTTATCAAAACAACCTCTGCCTATGATGAGGATGGGTAGACGATGAAATCATGTGACTCCTGTGTTGTTGGGTTGGTGCTGTTTAAGTATCATGTATGCCAATGTTTTTGAAATTTTGTAGTTTCCAGTGTTGCGTTCTATAGTGTCGGTGACGGCGATTAGTGAGGCTTCTAGGCACCGTCGGCATCTGAGGTCTAGTTCGGTGAGAACAAGTTGTGCCTCATTCCAGTTCATCAAATATTATTTATACCATTTCTAAACTAATGCAGTAGTCTGCATAACAGGAAATCTTTTATTTTTTGTAAGAATAAAAATTCAAAGTGGAAAGCAAAAGAAATGTAAGAGGGGCCTGGGGACATGACTAACAAACAGAGAACTTGTTATTTTAGTGAGAGGAACATCTGTCTTGTTTATTCTGGACCCTGTTTCAAAATCGGCATCTTCTGAAATTTGTGTGAAATTGGCAAAATTGCCAATTTCTAACCACTTTATTGGATAGTTGAAATTGGTAAATGGGTGGTTTCTTGTACTCATTCAATAGAAAAATGGAGTTCTAGCGAAATGTGATTTTTGTCGACAAGTACACAGGAATTGGTTGAAAATAGGGCTCAAAATGGGCGAAATCGTCGATGCGTAAACATCGTCGAGACCGCTAACTTCGCGAGAGCATAATTCCATAAGTTTTCCATCAAATTTCATACTTTTGGTGTTATTATGAACAGGAAAAAATTCTCTATCATTTCATAAGAATTTTTTTTTTTTTCAGAAAAATTTTTGACCCTGAGAACGAGTTTAGGAGAGGGCCTCTCGACCCTGAAAGGGTTAATCATGATGCTATAGCAGAAAACATGAGTTCTTCAGAACTATAGTAAATGGAAATATCTGAGGTACTGTACATGGAAAAGTAGAAGTACAACTAGATTACAATAGTGGAGTACACTTCTTTGTGTTTTAATAAGTGAAAAGGGATGAGTAAGAGAAGGGCCTGCTTAGTATGGGCCAGAAGGCCTACTGCAAGGCTCCTTTGTTCTTATATTAAAGATACACAAATGCAATTACAGTGGAACCTCTGGTCACACACGCTTCCAAACACGAACAAGTTGGTTCACAACCAAAAAATTTGCCAAATTTTTGCATCTGGTTACAAACACATAATCAGTTGCCAAACAAACACAGCTGCACCAATTTTCACATTCTGCACCATTTTTTTCACATGTGCCAATTTTCCCCACTTCATGTTGTTTGTGTACACCTAACTCTATTACTTAAGTTTTTTCTCTATAAAACTGTGCATTATTTTGTACAATTAAGGGTTTTTCAAACTTTGATTATTTTTTCTGTGTTTAAAACTCTTAAAAAACTGTTTACAGCGAATGGCTCGAATGGGTCTAGAACGGATTCATGCAATGTTAGTTTTCTTTGTTGTTCAAGGTTTTCTGTGTTATTCAGGGGTTTTATATTTAGTTTACTATTACGCTGTGCATTCTATGGTATAATTAACTATTTTTGTACCTAAAAATCCTAAAAAAAAAAAAATATTTACATACAGTCTGTAGGGATCTGGAACAGATTAATCGTATTTACATAAAATTCAATTGGGAAATTAGGTTCGGGTCACAACCAAATCAGGTCGCGACCAGAGCTTTGAAACGAATTATGGTCCTGACCAGAGGTTTCACTTTATACGTATAGAACTTGTAACACAGTGGTACACTGGTTAGAGTACTGGTCTGTCATGGGTTCAAATTCTGTCCACTTTCATAAATAAATAAATATCTTTATTTCTACAAATACAGTGGACCCCTGGCATACGACGGCATCGGTATATGTTAAATCTGGTATACGATACATTTTAACGCAAAAATTTTGCCTCGCCACTCGCTAAAAAACCAGCAACACACAATTTGTCCAGGATGCATCCACATGTGGCCTGAACTGCCCTGTGCATGCCAGTGTTTACAAGCCAGCCAGTGTTTAAAAGCCAGCCAGTGTGCTCGCATCTAAGCATACATATGGTACATTCCATATTATCACAGTGTTTTTGGTGCTTGTTTCTGCAAAATAAGTCACCATGGGCCCCAAGAAAGATTCTAGTGCCAACCCTGTGGTAAAAAGGGTGAGAATTAGTATGGAAATTACGAAAGATTTTAAAGGGTTTGGGGCTAACCCTGAGAAGCCTATGCCAGTTGTGGAATCCATTGTGCCTACTTCAAAAATTAAGGAAATGTGTGCAAAGTGGGTTGAACTGCAAACCTTTATGGATGAAAATCACCCTAACACAGCTATTGCAAGCCATGCTGGTGACTATTACAATGACAATGTTGTGGCCCATTTTAGACAAATCTTAAAGGAACGGGAGGTACAGACCTCCATGGACAGATTTGTTGTGCGACAGAGGTCCAGTGACTCTCAAGCTGGTCCTAGTGGCATTAAAAGAAGAAGGGAAGTAACCCCGGAAAAGGACTTGCTACCTCAAGTCCTAATGGAAGGGGATTCCCCTTCTAAACAATAAGTTCGACACTCTCCCCTCCTTCCATCCCATCAATCATCACCAGATCTTCATTAAAGGTAAGTGTCATGTATTCTATTGTTAGTAGATACTACTAACTATGCATGTCTTCTTCAGTTTGTGTGCATTAAACTTAATATTTCATGTGGCAAAACTTTTTTTTTCATAGTACTTTTGGGTGTCTTGCACGGATTAATTTGATTTCCATTATTTCTTATGGGAAAATTAATTAGCTCTCCGGTAATTTTGGCATACGATGAGCTCTCAGGAAATTATTAATATCGTATACCAGGGGTCCACTGTACATGTACAAGGTATATAGGCCTAGCTGACATCAATAACCTACTGCTACATAGAAAGCCGCTTGTTATGCAGAGCATTTCGGGCAAATTAAGTCAGTTTTGTCCCAGGATGTGACCCACACCAGTCAACTAACTCCTAGGTACCCATTTTACTGATGGGAAACAGACAACCGGTATAAAGAAACATGCCCAGTGTTTCTCCCCTCACTGGGAATTGAACCCAGACCCTCACCGGGTGAAGCAAGAGCCTTAGGGAGTAGTCAGGTTCACGCGCGCGGTGCAAAAAAAAAATCGAAAAAATATGAAAAATGGAGTTATTGTTACCAAAAAATAGCTGAACTTTCTGGCTACACGCTGGTATAATTATTATCCTTGTACGATGTTTCTAAAAGGAATTACAGCCATTTATAACAGGCATGGTGATAGTGCTGACGCAACATATTGCGTAAGAAGCGCTGACTCAGCTTTGTTGACGTTTTTGTTACGTTTTTCCCCGTGTTATTTTTATCGTTTTCTTATATCTTTATGTCTAATATAATACAAATTCACCATCTGAGATCATGCCAGAGTGGGCGGAGCTAATATGATCAAGTAACCAGTCAGGTACCCTGGGTATAGTACCCAAAATGGCCGACACCTCCAGCCAACAAAATATTCCATAAATATTCCATACCCACGCTAATATCAATTATAAGGCTTATTTATCTATCACAATTGATCTATTATGACATAATGCAATATAATAATAGCATATAAACATAAAAAGTACACCTTAAAAAAAAATATACAGTGGACCCCCGGTTAACGAACTTTTTTCACTCCAGAAGTATGTTCAGGTGCCAGTACTGACCGAATTTTTTCCCATAAGGAATATTGTGAAGTAGATTAGTCCATTTCAGACCCCCAAACATACACGTACAAACGCACTTACATAAATACACTTACATAATTGGTCGCATTTGGAGGTGATCGTTAAGCGGGAGTCCACTGTATAGCATAATATG